TTTTAAATAACATAAATTGCAAGAAAATATAATATAATACATAAATTAGGGGACAAATTCAAATAAAAGTGACATACAATTACACAAACACTCAATTTTCAAAATTATTACGTTGCTCCCATAAATGCTCTATTAATGCATTATGGAGTTCAAGATGAACATTTTTGTCCTTAATTTTTTTTATGTCTAGCTAAAAATTGTTCAAACCGGAGATTTTCATCTATCACCATTTCTATAGTTGGAGTTGGAGCCTCTACGGCATCTTGAATTGATGCATTGAGATGACGTTCATCCTCAATTATCATGTTGTGCAGTATAATACATGTAGTCATTATATCATGTAACACTTCCTTTCTCCAAAAACGTGACGGTCCTGCAATAATTGCAAAATGTGATTGCAAAACTCTGAATGCACGTTCAACATCTTTTCGGCACGATTCTTGTTTCATCGCGAAATATTTCTTCTTTTGGGAATAAGGATCACAAATAGTTTGAATAATTGTAGACCATTTAGGATATATACCATCAGCTAAGTAATAACCCATATCGTATTCTTTTTCTTGAATAACATAATGGGCGGGAGGCACAATACCGCTAGCAAGATTGGAAAATAAATGTGATGACTCTAAAACATTAATATCGTTATTGGTGCCAGGAAAACCAAAATAAGCATGCCATATCCAAAGGTCATAATCAGCAACAGGTTCAAGAATAATCGTTGGTGATCTACTACAACCTGCGTATTGCCCAGCCCATGCCGTTGGACAATTTTCCATTTTCAGTGCATGCAATCTAGACTACCTAACATTCCTGGGAAACCACGCTGCTCACCAATGTGTAGAAGCCTCGCAACATCGTTAGGTGTTGGTGAATCTCAAATATCGCTCACCAAAAACCTCTACAGTAGAAACTATTAGTGATCCAAATTCGTGATTACCTGCAATGAGAACAACAACGAATACTTGAAAAAAGAAATCAACAATCACAACCACAATCGCAACAATTCTCGAAATCATATCCTAATTTTTTCCCGAATAGTGCTAAATCTGGAAACGGCCTACCGGATTTCTAAATTATTGTTGTGATCAATTAATTATTATGTTATGTATTTGTATTTTATCTTGTATTTAACTTATTATGTTATGTATTATATTGTATTGTTATCTTGTATTTAAATTATTATGTTATGTATTGTATTGTTATCTTGTATTTAAATTATCATATCATGTATTGTATTTTTAAATTAAATTTTTTCATCTTGCCATTTTAATTTTGCGTATTCTTTATAATGAAAATTAATAATAAAATAAATTTTATTATTCACGAAAATTAGAAAAAAATTTAAAATACTATTAATTTGAAATTAAAATAGTATATATTAAATAATATTTTTTTAAAATATAATATTACATTTAAAAAAAAGAATTATGAATATTAGATATTTTAATTAATGAAATTATATGTAAAATAATATGTTAATTAGAAAGTAATAGAAATAATAATAAAATAATAAAAAGGTGAAATAGAGAGTGTAAATAGTAGTTCTCCAAATTTGGAGAACTACTATTCAACTCTCTAAATTTGAAGAATAGAGGGTGATTTGGAGGTGGGTTGGAGTGTCCATTCTCTATTTAACTCTCCAAATATAGAGAATGAAGAGTAAAATAGAGGTGGGTTGGAGATGGTCTAAGATTCAATGTTCAACTATTATAGCTTTTTAAAGTTTGATTTTAAAATTTAATGAGCCGTAAAAATAATATATTAAAAGTACTTAAAATTTTGAGAGGAACTCATAATTAAAATTTGAGAATATTTAGAGGAGATTTTGAGTTTGTCAATATTGAAAAACTCCATTAGTTATTAAAAGTTTTTTCAAAGCTCAACCAAATTTCAAAATCCGACGAAAAAAGTGAGTTGACCCGACCAACAACCCACACACTAGTGGGTTAGGCTGGCTATTTACTGGCCTACAAAAAAATGGGTTAGCTTGACCTAGACCAACAAATTCCAAAGCCTGTATAAATCGGTCCGGATAAAGTGAATCAGCCCATATTAATAGCTCAACCTAAGAGTCACAAATGACAATATTACCCTCATGATACATTTTATCAATTGACCTAATTATATACAAATATATTTTATAATAAGATAACACAATTCTGATTACTCCCTCCGTTTCACAAAGAATGACCTGGTTTGACTTGGCACGGAGTTTAAGTAAATAAAAAAGACTTTTGAATCTTGTGGTCCTAAATTAAAGTTAAGTCAAATGTACAAAATTGTCCTTAATCTTGTGGTCTTAAACATGCCACGTGAAAAGCAAAAAGTAAATTGTTACCAAAAAGGAAAGAGGTCATTCTTTTTGAAACTGACTAAAAAGGAAATAAGGTCATTCTTTGTGAAACGGAGGGAATATTATCTTTATCCTTTTATCTCATCCACTGGATGAAATATAAAGTTACCAAAAGAGCTAAAACTAATTTACCCTGCAGGTAATGCACTCTGCAAAGGCAGAACATGTGATATAAAGGCTTGGAATGATAATGGCGTGACTTCTGTTTGAAGTGAGTACTATTTCTATTTAGTTTTAATTGTCATAATTTACTTTTTTTAAAAGTTAAATTACAAAAAAAATTGACTAACATTTTATAATGTATTTTTTTTAGCATATTAATATATAAAATATTATAATTTATTATACTTTTCGTATAGTTTTTGAATTCTATTTTTTTTTTGTTTAAAATATTAAATTAATGTAATTTTATTTAATTTTAAAAATTAATCAAGTTAATTTTAAAAATCACAACATAACAAATAAAAATGAACGGAGAAAGTATTTTATTATAATAATGAGATGTACCGTTTCCCCTCTGTCCAAGTAAAACTTTGCAATAATTATGACGTACATACCTCTTTAATTAATGATGTCTCAAGTGAATAAGAATTGATTAATTATCACTCTACATATGTTGCCTCTTCACTTGAATGCAAACGAACGTTATGATAAGTATGTTCTACCAAAATTCATTTTCAACTCCTTGTTTAAAACTGGAACAGAATTTATTACTTTTGCTTCTTTAGTTAGTGAAAATAATTATATCGAATGTTTGTACTACTTGGAGAGTTAAAAATATTCCCTCTGTCCCTAATTACTTGTTCACTTTTGAATTGACACACCTATTAAGAAATCAATAATTGACCTAGTGAGTTTACCATTTTACCTCTATTAATTATGAAGTGAATGAATTTAAAACTTAATATTTTCAAGAAATTCTACATTTTTCAAAGTAATTAATTGGGGGTATAATAGGTACAGTAAAAAAATTTTGTCCTTTGTTGATTTGTTAAAAAGGACAAATAATTAAAGACAACTAAAAAAAGAAATATGGATAAGTAATTAGGGCCAGAGAGAGTTTGATTTGTACTTCCTCCGTTTCTATTTATATGTCACAATTTTAAATTTCATGTGCATTAAGAAACTAAGTAACTTTAATATTATAGCCTTATTTAAATTATTTTTGAACTCAACTTGTCAATTAATGAATATGAATTAATTTATTTTCGTTTTGTTAATTTAAACAAGGGAAAAAGGACAAATATACCCCCGAACTTTCAAAAATGGTATGTATATACCCTTCGTTATACTTTGAGACTGTATATACCCTTGTCGTCCAATAATCGGTGCACATTTACCCCTCCCACTAACGACACACTCTTTCTGTACACGTGGCGCAATCCTAAGCCATTATTCAGTTGACCAATCTTTTTAACCCAATTCCTAAGAACCCGCCCATGACCCAATAAACCCACCCAAATTAAATCTAAAGAAAAGACCCAAAATTAGCACCCCATAGCTGGAATTCGGACATTCCCAAGAGAGAAGATTAGCACGCTGGAATTCGGACATGGGTGTCCCCTTCACACTTTTCGGATAAATCCCCACAGCTACCATATTCTGGTGCAACATAACATACAGTTCCTCTCATGCTTGGAGTGCTACTGATGCCACCACTTATAGGTGATTTGGTGAATTTGGAGCAATTGAATGTGTCACATAATATGCTTTCTAGAACAATTCCGAAAAGTATTTGTCAGCTTCACTGGTGAACCGCCGGTGTATTTGGGGTTGCCGGAGTTTCATGATGAACGAAATTGTTTGCCTAAAATACTGGTGCAACGGTCTCCGGGACATATAAGGTGTTTTTGTCTAAAAAAATTCATTGTAGTGCTTTTAGGTGTCATAAATTTGTTCCTGTTTTGCTATCTCCACCACCACTTTCACCGCCGTTGCCTGCCCCTCCTCCGTCTGTTGTGGTGCCTATTTTTCCTCCTCCGTCACCTGTTTATTCGCCTCCGCCACCAGTTTATACTCCTCCTTCACCTTCACCACCACTTCCTCCACCTCCAGTTTATTCACCACCGCCACCACCACCCTCTCCACCTCCTCTATCACCTCCACCACCACCAACTCAATCTCCTCCTCCACCACTACCGCCACCATCTCCACCTTCTCCACCACCTGTTTATTCACCGCCACCACCATCACCTCCACCACCTGTTTATTCACCGCCGCCACCCCCACCATCTCCACCTCCTCCATCACCATTACATTATTGTGTACGCTTACCTCCACCTCCCTTGCAGGCCTCCTCTTCTCCTCCTTCACATTTTTTCCGTCATCTAATGAAACCCACCAATCTAATCGCTTCCTATGCTTTTCTTTTCTATTTTTCCTGCTGGTCCTGAACTCAACGAAGCCCCAATTCACCCTGTCTTCGGCCTCTCCTTCTTGATCTCACCAATCTAATCGCTTTCTAGAATTTGGGTCTTTTCTTTAAATTTTAGGGAGTATATTTTGCCCATAAATTTGGTGGGTTTATTGGGTTATGGGCGGGTTTTTAAGATTTGGGTTAAAAGAATTAGTCAATCGGGTAGTGGCTTAGGATTGTGCCACGTGTACAGAAAGAGTGTGTTGTTAGTGGGAGGGGCAAATGTGCACCGATTATTGGATGGCAAGGGTATATACAGTCTCAAAGTATAACGAAGGGTATATACATACTATTTTTGAAAGTTCGGGGGTATACTTGTCCTTTTTCTCTTTAAACAATGAACATGAATTATTTACTTAGCTTTTCTATGTTGGTCAAATATATATTTTCAAGGCGAATAATTCACAAGGATAAAATAGGAAAAATATTGTAATTTATGTATTGATTTTATGAAATGACAAGTATTATGGATCAACTATTTATAGTAAAAATGACATATAAAAATAAATGGAGGAAGTACCAGTTTATGTAACATTTTGATTTTAAACTTCTTTATTTATTTTTAATTTTCTTAATCATAATTTTCAGAATTCTTTTTGTTTTTTTTCCTATAATTTTGTGTTCAATTAAACATCTTTACTTAAGAGGAAGATATATACTAAACTTTTGCTATCGTGCACCCCATACGATGTGATCTATTGAATAGTTACGTGGGTAACCTTATATATCAAAGATGTAAATCTCACTAAAGATTTTTTTAAAAAAAAGATAATTTTAGCATTTTGATACAAAATTATTTGATATCTACATCAATAGAAGGTAAAAGATACCGATGGAAGGTAAAACATATACTCGTCCACCCTTAGGGCTCGTTTGGTGTGAGGGATTAGAAATAATAGTGATGGGATAAAAAAAAAATTATGTTGTTTGGTTGGCAAGTCCGGGATAACTTATCCCGGGATTAATAATTAGTACCGGGATAAGTTATCCCTTCCCATGGGTGGTATAGTAATCCCGGGATAAGTTATCCCGAGATAAAATAAGTAAATGACAAATATGTCCCTTTAAATCCTTTTTATACATCATTTTTTACATTTATGTATATTTACATTTTTTTAATACCATGTATAATAATATTTACTACTCCTTATTTTTATGATAATTATACATATTTTTCTATTAAAAAATTATACTATATAAATATAATTTTTATTTATGAATTTATTTGACTAATTCTTATGTTTATTTTATTTTGATTTCTCATAAATTTTCTTCTCTTTAATAAACTTAAGAGGGAAGTTCTATTTTTAAGCTAAATAAGAAAAAAGTTATATTTTTAAATACACATGGTATTTATCATGGGAATACATAAACAAAAATATTTAAATTAAATAAAATAAAAGTTTTATTTTAAAAAATGAATAACTAAAGCTCACAAAGAAATATTTAAAAAGTTTAAATAAAGTGAAGGGTAATTTTGTAAACAAACAACTTGTTCTTAAAATTTATCAATATATATTATTTTGAATATAACAAACCAAACACTCAATAAGAAATAATCTCAGGACAACTTATCCCATCATAACTTATCCCAACATAACTTATTCCAACATAACTTATCCCATCATAACTCATATTCAAACCAAACGACCCCTTAAAGAAACAATACAATAACTTTTGTGCTTGTATTTGTGTACAATGTGAAAGATATTTTAGAATTTGAGAAAAAAAGGTACTAATACGGACATGAAGGTGCACAAGGTTTCTTAAAAAACGAAAAATTAAGTGGTTAAGCAAACACATAGTAATAGTTACTTAACTAACATAGCTACTACAATTTGTATTAATTACAATTTAAAACTTGCTTCTAGCTATCATTACATAATTCTTCTCTCTCGCCTCTCACCTCCCTTCCTCTCTCTCACCTCTCTCCTCTCTCTGGAATCTTGCTCGCCTCTCTCCTCTTTTTCAATTATCTTTCCCTCGCCTCTCTCCTCTCCATGCTCAGTCTCTCTCTCGCCACTCTTTTGCCAATCTCTCTCTCACTTTATACATATTAACAAAAAAATTACAAATGTATAATTTGAGATTGTATAAAACGAGAGACTGATATACAAATACAAATGTTTGAATCGATTCAATTGTATATTGATATATACAAATACAATCATTGATACATATACATACTAGTTAAATAAATATAATTATCTAACTGATATATATATATATATATATATATATATAATTCACCTCTCTCTACTCTCCTCCCTCTCTCGCTCGCCTCTCTCCTCCCTCTCCCAATCTCGCTCGCCTCTCTTCTTCCTCTAACATGTAGCTACGAATCGTAATTAACAAATTGTAGCTATGAAACATAATTAAGTTATTTTGAGTGGCTATATGCGAAAATTTCCCTACTTAAAATATATATTTATTTTATTAGTATATTTTTAAAGTACATTTAGTGTGATGAAGTGTTTGAGGGGGTGAGAGAGTATGAGGGGGTCCTTGAGAGATGTTTATGGTTGAATATTTCAGTAGAATTGAAGCTTTAAAAGCAATAAATTGAGGAAATTGTCGTGCAAAATCTGAGGCGCACCTACCGGATGTTACACATTCACAGTACTCTCATTTCCTGCCACCAAAAGACCTGGTGCACTGAGTTGAGTTGTTTTTTTTAATCAAAACTTTCAGATTCGAGTCTTAAATGTAAAAAAATTATTAATAGAAAACACTTTTCTTTAATTGGGGTTCTACGCTGTATAAATTTAAAATAATTGGACTTCAATTTAAATACAGAATAAAAAAAAATCTCATTTCCTTATTTATTTATTACATCATATTTTCCTTCTCTTTTTCTCCAACTACCTTTCCTCCTCACACTCTCACTTTCACCTTCACAAATCACAACAACCATCTCACCTCCTCTTGATAACGCCTTTTGTCCATATATGTCCCCCAACTAATTTCTTTTTTATATGTCTTGAACCAAGAATTTAGTTAGAAGATTTGAAAAGGTATCAAATATGAAATAATTGGAATTTGAACTTACAAATTAAAATACCACTAGTATATTTTTGTTTCATTTTCCATCACACTATAATTTTTTCCTATATCAAGGGATTCAACCATTTATATATTAAATTAAATTAAATTTTGGAAAAACTGTTCAATTTACCTTTCTAACGATGTTATGTTTGACGGGGCAAGGACAAAGCCAAGGAGGTTCATTCAAATCCCCTTTGAATATGTGTTGATTAATATTAAAAAACCATTCATATATATATATATATATACTAGAGAGAGGAGTTCTAAAACCTGTCTACTTTTAATAAAATAAATTCTTATATAGAGGATTTTACAATTTAAGGAGAAAATAGCAACTACTAATAGGTGGCAAACAAACAGATAATAATGATCAATAAAGTTTATACATTAATTATTACTAGATAATGTTGCCCGTGCTATGCACGGGCCCAATAATATAAATGATATGTTTTGGGGGCTAATAACCGAGTTTTTGAAGCGATTATTTGCGTGGATAAAGGAATAAGTTTTTTTATCACAAATCTATACTTTCTTTGATGCTATTTAAGGCATAATAAGACTACCCACATGCAACATTTTTGAAATATTTTATGTTGTCAATTATCATGATTTATAGTATTTTTAAGCAATTTTTAAATATAAAAAAAACGAAAAAAAATAAGACAAATAAATTAAAATGGACCCAATATATGTTATTTTTGTTGTCTCAATTTATGTGACACAAATGAAATTTGGAGAGTCATCCAAATTTTCAATTTTTTTAAAAAATGTTTGAAGTTATTAATTATTGTGATTTATAATATTTTTATGTAACTTTGAAATAATGTACATTACTGGTCACTTTGTCCTAATTTATGTGATATGGATAAAATTACAAAATTAACCCTTTTAAAATGTCTTTCAGATATTTTAAGTTGTTAATTATTATTATTTATAATACTTTTTTGGTAACTTTAAAATGATATGTGTTATTTTTTCTGTCCCAATATATGTGAGCCTGATAGAATTCTGAGAGTGAACCTATTTT